GGTCTAGTGGCTCCGGGCTCGGCGCGCTGGGTCCTTGCTGGGCTCCACTGGGCGGGCAGACCGACCCGGCAGCGTCACTGCCGAGTTTCTTGGCCTCTCCCGGGACCCGCTTTGTTTGGCAAGAACACAACCTGACCCTGGGAAGGAAGCAGCCGCCTTCGGGAAGCCCTCTGGGACTGCCTGCCCCACTCATCCCTCGCCCAGTCTGCCCCAAACAATGTGCTTGTTTATTGTCTGCTAGAGGATTCTAGAGAGGCCAGGCCAGGCTTGGTGGGGCTGAAAGGTGCAGCCTGGGTGGGGCCACCCTGTGGGAGCACCCTATTGCCATGGCCACACTCGCTGTCACCTGGGGCGGCAGGACCAGGCTCAGGTAGCTGTCAGCTAGAAGGGTGGGTTCATGATGGCGGGGATACCCTCCCCAGCCTAGCCCTGCAGTGGGGACCTGGGTGCAGGCTCTAGGGTCCGATGTCCACTGTGAGTGGTGCCAGGCTGGAGCCCACGCTGCCCTCCCCCCGAGGCCCTCTCTGTACCTGGTGTGCGGGGCTGTCTGGACGGTGGAGCCTGGCCAGGAGCAGCTCTGAGGATAAAATAGCCATGGTGGGCTCGTGGAGAGGGTGGGGCGACTCGTGTCCCGAAGGAGGGCCTCACTGGGAAGCGGGTGCCTCTTTCCTCCCTTCACACCAGAGCAGCACAAGGGACCGCGTCTGACGTCACACTCTGGTGTGTGACTGCACAGCTCCGGATCAGGCCCAAAGCAGGGGGGCCAGCCCAGCTGTGCCCCAGAGAGACCGAGGCCCAGAGGGGGTGGCCACTCACCATCCAGCCCCAACGCATGGGAGACAGCCGAGCCCAGGTCCCACGGCTGACCTGTCCGCTGGGGGTGAGGGAGGAGGCCTGCAGCTCGGGCCAGCTCCGAGCAGGGGCAGCTCCAGAGAGGTCTCTGTCCATGGCCAAACCCGAAAGGGCGTGTTTCTCATAGTACATGAAAAACTGCATGGATTCCAATTCTTTTACACCAAAATGCTCTCGTATCTTAATTTCGTTTTTGCACGAACCTTTTGGAGTGCTCTCATCTATCAATCTGTGTGTACGTGTGTGTGCACACATGTGTACATACATTCACACACATGAAAGAAGTTTCTGGACACCACAGGAGGCAACGTAGCCTGCCAGGCTCTGACAGACGGAGACAGAAGAGGCGCGTCCTCCAGTCCCCGCAGCTGACTGAGGGGTTTCCAGCGGCAGCGCGGCGAGGGGAACTGAGCAGAGCCTGCCGTCCCTCCCGGTAGAGGAGGTAGAGCCAAGAGTCCAAGGAGACCACGGCTGGAGGTGGCAGACAGAGCGTCAGGAGAAGCTCAGAGGTCAGCCAGGTGTTCCCCTGACCTTTTGGTCAAGGCTGGATTGATGAAGCTTCCAGGTGCTGTAGAACACTCTGGAAGGACCACAGGAAGCCCTGCTTCTGCCTGTGGCCTGGCTGGAAGAGCGCACAACCTGCCAGTCACAGCGCGGCGTATACAGAAGGCCTTGGCCTAGCCTGGGCCGAGACTGATGTGGGTCCATCCAACGGGTTATGAAAGAAAGACCCAGAACAATCATGTTCTGCCCGCTAACTGAATCCCAGGACAAGTTGAGAGCGTGCATAGGATATAAGAACACCTGGCACCCAGCGTCCAGCAGGCATGCAACGAAGCGTCATACCAAGGACACTGCTCCGGCAAGGCCCAGACGTGGCCACCGTGTGACCCAAGAATCCTGAAGGGCTGGCAGCCAGGGGCCAGTACAGGCTCGAATCCCCTGATCAACCTGCAAACGCCAGCATGGGGTCACTGGGATCCCCAGGCCCCTCTCTCCCATTTAAAAAAAAAAAAAAAATTCACAAAAAAAGATTAAACCTGATCTAGTTTTTTTTTTTTTTTTGGAGAGGTTTTCGCTATAGGGCACATGCACTCACCAGACAGAGAGAGACATAGAGACAGAAAGCGAGAAATCACCCCCCAGGGGGATGGTCACACCACAATCCCTTCTCCTCCATTCTCCTCTCGGGATCTTGGGCACGCATGCACACACGCCCGGCGTGAGTTTTAAGCCACTGGGTCCGGGACACGAACCACGGTCGGCTATGTGGGAATCCAGCGACATAGCCATTACGCTAACTGCTGGTTCCCAACCTGATCTAGTTTTGACATAGGTATTAGAATTAGCGGGGAAAGGTTTTTAAACTGTATCCATATGTTTAAAAAGTTGAGTAGGGGGACCACCAGATGGCATAATGGTTATATCGCTGGACTCCCACATAGTTGATCGTGGTTTGAGTCCCAGACCTGGCGGCTTTAAACTCGCACCAGGCACATGTGCTTATGTGTCCAAGATCCTGAGAGGAGGATGGAGAAGGGATTGAAGCATGGCCATCCTCCCTGGGAGGTGATTTCTTGCTTCCTTCTGTCTTTCTCTGTGTGTCTCTCTGGAGAGCACACATGCCCTATAGCAAAAAATCTCTTGAAAAGAAAAAAAAAGTTAAGTAGGGGACCGGCAGATGGTTTAGCAGTTACGTTGCCAGATTTCCACATGGCTGACCACAGTTCAAGTCCTGGACTCAGTGGTTTAAAAATCACACTGGGTGCGTGTGCATGTATGCTCAAGATCCCTGGAGAATGGAGGAGATGGGACTGTGGCATGGCCATCTCCTGTGTAGTCAACCGTGATTCTAGTCCTGGACCCGGTGGCCTGAACTCACACCGGACACGTGGGCGTGCGCGTGCCCAAGATCCCAAGAGGAGAATGGAGAAGGGATTGCGGCGTGACCATCCCCCCTGAGGGGTGATATCTCGCCCAGGGGTAAACACGCGCTGGGAGCCAGCCTGGTTTGACTAAGTAAGCTGGACCCCACATGGCTGAACGTGTGTTAGAGTCCCAGACCTAGTGGCTTGGAAACACTAAGCACATGTGTGTGCATGCCCAAAACCCTAAAAGGAGGACTAGGAGGAGCAGAAGGGATTGCAGTGCGGCCATGCCCCTGTGGGTGCTTTCTCTTCTTGTCTAACTCTGGCAGCACAGGCTCCCTCTAGCAAAAATTTTTTTAAAAGAAGGAAAGAAAAATCAAAAACACTGGATAGAATTAATGGTAGATTAAGTGCTGGAGAAGAAGAAGATGAATGAAGTTGAAGACATAACAATAAACTGTCCAAAAGGAAATGGAATAGAAAAGGAATTTTTAAAGAGCTTCTGCAGCTTACAACTTAAGCAGCCTAAGATACGGGTAATTGAAGTCTAAAAGACAGGAGACAGAGGCAGAGAGAAGGATTTGAGGACCTGCTGGTGGCATGGTGGTTAAAGCAGCTGGGTCCCACATGGCCACCTGCATGGTTCAAGTCCAGGGCTGGCAGCTTGAAGAGCATGCCAAGCCATGTGCATATGTGGCCAGAGCCCCGAAGGAGAGGGGACGGAGGGGACTGCAGTGTGGCGGTCCCCACCGGGTGCTTTCTCACTGCTCACTCGCGCTCTCTCTGGCATGTGCATGTGCCTTCTAGAAAACTGAAGAAATAGTCACTGGAATTTCCCCAAATTTGAAGAAAATGCTAAGACCACAAGTCCCAGGATCTCAATAAACCCTGCGTACGAGAAACAAAGAAAAACAGCATCAAAGTGTAACGCATCGGAGCAGGAACGGTCTTAAAAGCAGCCCAAGAAGTCACAGCTACAAACAGAGGGACCAGGGTCAGGGCGCCGCAGGCATCTTCCTGGGGGCATGGAGGTGGCGGGCGATGTCTGCCCCACTGCGAGGTGCTGGGCACCCACAGTCCTCCAGCTGGCAACAAATACATCAAAAGCCAGGATGAAACAAAGATGCGCTTAGACGTACAGAAGCCACAAGCGTTTGTCACCAGCAGACACACCCTACCAGAACCGTGCCAGGAGCCCTTCGGGCAAGAAGGCGGCGACGGCGGCTTGAAAGCCAGACCTATGGAGCGAAGTGCAGCAGGGACGGTAAAGTGGCAGCTGCAGGGAGACAGGCGACATGGGATCTGAGAGCCGGCTCTAAGCGCAACCCGGCGTGCACATCGGAGTGTGAGATGTGAGGGAGAGCACAGCGCAGAGCGAGGGAGAAGGGCGGAGCCCTCAGCCCTGCTGTGGGTGGTGGGCCCAAGGCCACGGGGGTTGGGGGTGGGGGGCTGTGGACGCCATTACAGGTCCTTAGACTGCCACTAAAGTAACAGCCGTAACTTATAAGCTGACGAAGGAAAAAAGTGGAATTATAGAAATATTGCTTAATCCAAAAGAGGCAGCAAAAGTTGAAAAAGTAGGAGCAGGTGGGACGAGAGGAGACAGGACGATGGCGGAGCCGGGGGAGCCCGCCAGCCTGCACGTGCACCTGGACGGGAGGGCCGGGCCTGAGGCAGAGGTTGCCAGGCGGGGCGTTTTCTCACAGCAAGACCAGCTATATCCAGACCAAAAATGCCACGAGAGACCAAGACAAGCACATTGGCAGCTAAGAACAAGGGAAGGCACTGGCAGGGGGCAGGGGCGAGGAGAGCGCAGGTGCCGGCAGGGGGCAGGGGCGGGGAGAGCGCGGGCGCTGCAGCCGGGAGCAGGGGCGCTGCCAGCCGAGGAGGGCTGTTCCGAGTGTTGTGGAGCAGCCGTCCGTCTACACCGGATCGTGCCTGTGCCTCCCAGCAGAGCGAGACTCGGAGAACGGGGCAAGCCCACAGCCATGGGTGCGTTTCCACATGCCTTGTGCTGACGCGTGGGTGCCCACCAGGGTGGAGGGTGTGAACACCCAGTGTGGCCGGTGCCATTCCCAGACCTCCTCCCAAGAGTGCAGCACATTGTCAAGAGCCTGGCACGTCCCCCTCACAGACCGCACTTGGGCTCCAGTCAGTCGGCACAATTAGAGTCAGGCAGACGTCGTGACCACAGTGAGGTTAAACAGGTGCCAGGCCTCACGGTGAGTGACCGGGGGGTGTCCCTGCTCACTGTGACCAGCTCTGGGAGGGCCATGAGCCCTTCCTTCAGCCCCTGCCCCGCCATCCACGCACCTGCACACACCTGCAGCCCCTGCCTCGCCATCCACACACCTGCCCCTGCCTCGCCCTCCACCCCCCCCCCCCCCGCCCACCCAACCCCCTCCCCCTGCCCCGCCATCCCCCCGTGCGCACCTGCAGCCCCTGCGCCACCACCCACTCACCTGTGTGCAGCACAGCCCCTGCCCCCCATCCATGTCTGTGCACACCTGCAGCCCCTGCCCTACCTTCCATGCACATGTGCACAGGCCTTACCCACCCACATGCATCCCAGGAAGGGGAGTCTGGGTTGGGCACCTGAGGGGCCAGCACTGACAGGCCAGGGGAAAAGCTGCCCAGGAAGGGAGAGGGCGTGTCAGCAGCCTGGAGGGAGGCCAAGGTGGGCTGCATGGGAGACGGTGTGGCCATGAGGCAGGCAGCTGGGAGTGGGGCCCCTGTGTCCCAGGGCAGGGCCCACAGCAGCATGTGCTGGGCTCTGGGGCCAGGGCTGGACTGCCGCCTTGGCCTCGGCTCTTCGGGAGCTGGTTCTCCTCGAGTCTGACCCAGGCCTTCCTGCTGCAGCCCTGACTCACCTCCGTGTGGCTCGTGTGGGTGAAGATGGCCCAGGTGTCCAGGCCCTATGAGGCAGGGGCCAGTGCTGCCCAGCAGCCAGTCGCACGGCTCTGGTGTCTGACAGACTTGGCTTCGAAGCCCAGCCCTGGCCCTACCGCTGGCCTTAGTGAGGGCTCCTGCTCTCTGGGCTTGTCTTGCTGGCCGTTACCCCACCGGGGCTCCTGCTGGCCCAAGGCAGTTGAGGTGACTCACCTTCAGAGGCCAGCTTGCCGGCCCGATCCTCTGGTCCTTCCTCGGGGTCCTGGGAGGCCACAGCAGTGTCTCTGGCTGTCGATAAGTCTGGTCTGTGGGCGAGAAAACACCCTAGAGCCACCCAGTGCCAGGAGACCCTGCCCTCACTAGGCGGGAAGCTGACCCAGTTGTGGCCTCACCTGGGATTGGCTGTCGTCAGCTCTGGGTCCCCACAGATCTGCAGCTGCTCTGGCTTCGAAGTCACCTCTGGCCTGGCCTGAGCTGAGTGTCCCTCCATCAACTGCTGTGAGAACAAGGGGGTGGACGAGGCCGCTCCTTACCCCCGGGCCTTGAGTGTCCCCAGAGGAGCCCAAGGTTGGGCAGGTGTCCCTCGTGAGGGGCCTCCCGGGGCCGAGGAGCCTGAGATGTGGAAGTTCTGTCCTGCCGTGGCCACCACAGCCCAGCTGGCACGATACCAGAAGCCAGGGTGCCGTGGGAAGCAAGAGCGTGCGGCTGGAGGGTGGCAATGGAGGGGAGAGGGGTTTGCAGGCCAGGCGTGTCTGTACCAGGGCCCCGGGTGGCCGTACTGCTCGCACACGCACACGCACTCCCTGCGGTTCCATTACTCTCCTGCCGATGCCTCCCCAAGTGTGCTTGAATGGACATCCCGCCAGCAGCCCGGAGGCACATCGCAGGCCACGATCGCAGCCACGAACCTGGCACCAGCGCCACAAGGGGGCCCCGCCCCAGGCCTGGGTGCCATTGTTCCTTTCACAGGGACCCTGGTGCGCCTGTCCAGCAAGGACTGCCTGCCCGATGGGGTAAATGCCTTGGCACAAGGCGGCCAGGCAGCAGGCCGGGAGACCTGCTGGGAACGTGGCATTACATATCCTCAGGCCACACGCTCGGGCCTCTGCAGGGAGCCCTCTGCTCAGGGGTCAGTGAGCCCTGAGGCACAAATGGCCACCCGTGAGCAGCTCTGGTCCCTGCTGGGAGCCCCTGGAGCAGGTGCCCCAGGACGCGAGTGGCCAAGCCTGTCCCTGCTCTACGAAGTCCTAGTTTGTGCTGATCGCGGTGGTACCAAACCGCCCGACGTGCTGGGCCCGCGCTCACAGTCGGTCCACGCTGCCTGGGCCTGACCAAGGCTGTCATGGAGCCACCACCAGTGTGGAAGGGCCGTGGACAGGGAGGGCGTGCTCATGAGAGCCCAGGGAGCAGCCCAGCTGACCTGCAGTCGGCGTTTGAAGACCAGCGTGTCCAAGGCCACCTGCGTCTCCCAGACCTCCAGCTCCGCCCGGTGCCGCAGGAGGGCCAGTGCCGGTGCCTCCACCTGCCGGCCCGGCTGCAGCAAGAACCCGTACTTCAGGGCTCGGCCGGCCAGCTGCCATGGCCCGAGAGAAGGCTGCTCCGCTGAGCCCAGGCCTCCTCGGAAGACCACCCCGCTGGGCCCACCCCTGGCAGGCCCCACTGCCTTGCTCACCCTGCCTGGGCTTCCCCCGGGCCCACGAAGGCCGGCGCCCTGGGTCAGTCTAGCAGCCCCCCACCTCTACACATCGCCCCTTCTTGCCAGGGCTGCCCCACTTCCACATTCGACAGCTCCGTGCCCTGGGGTCTTGCTCCCAAACAGAAGGGCCCTAAAGGGATGGTGGCCATCGGCCTGATGTCGTGGGTGGGGCGTACCGTCGGCGACTCAAGAGACAGGGACTCCTGCTGGGTGTCGGTGAGGTGCCCACTACCCCGCTCTTCGGGACAGGGCCTGCCAGGCTCCTCTGGACCTGTGGGGCCATGGAGAGAAGCAGCTGAGCGGCCACAGTCTCAGTTCTGTGGGAGGACGAGGCCACCCTCGGCCTACAAGGACCTGAGGCCAGGGGCCAGGAGCGCAGGAGAGCCGAGACGGGCTGCGGTCACATGGAGGACAGGGCTGCAGTGTCACCTTGTCTGCCAACAGGTCTGACCCTTGGCATGACTCTGCTGGGACCAGTGGCCCGAGTTTAGGGAGATGGCAGAAGCCAGGCCCACGGGCTCCCCCACCAGGCAGGCGGGGTCTGTGTTGGCCGTCGGGCATTTGCTGGGTGCCGCACACAGGTGACTGCCAGGTGGAGCCTCCGTGCAGACAGAGCTCCCTGCTTCCTGGTGGGAAGACCCAGGGGTGGTTGAGTTCACGTCCAGTGGGTGCAGCTGCCGGGGTTGCTAATGGGGACAACCATGTAGGGTGCAGTCACGTCACAGACAGTCACGTGCCCGATCCCACGAGGAGGGACACCTCGGCCTCCCCTGGGACCATGGAGCCCTGAGGGCAGAGCATGGCTCCTCCTTCCTGGGGGTTTCTGAGGGAGCCACCTCCAACTCTGTGCCAACGCTCCCGGCCTGCAGAGCCCGCCACAGGGCGGTCCAGAGCAGGAGGGGCGGTCAGTAGTCCCTTTCCTTGCCCACCTCCCGCCTGCCGTCGGCCTGGTCTGGGTGAAACCTGGCAGGGAGCCCCTTGGGGATGGCCGGCTCACTCCAGGGCTCGGCCCCTGGTCTGTGGTGCACAAGCTCCTGGTCATCACTGGCCAGTGTGCAGTGGGGGCTCTGGCCAGATCCCTGCTCTAACTGCCAGGGCACAGCTCCGAGGGCCAGGGCATGGCTCCAAGGGCCAGGGCACGGCTCCAACGGCCAGGGCACGGCCCCGACGGCCAGGGCACTGCTCCAACGGCCAGGAGAATAGCAGGGCCGGCCCTCCCCGGCAGAGCGGTCCAGCCTCTCACAGCTAAGCTGGGGACAATAGTGAAGCCAGTGGCTAGTTGTCTCCATGGTCAGAAGAAAAGCCAATGCTTAAGGAGCAGGTGTGACCCAATGCGGCCGCCTCTCCTGTGCTGAACGCCAGGGCGGCCCTCAGCCAGGGGGACGTGAAGACAGCTCTAGGATTCTTGGCTTTGGTTTGACTGTTCTGGGCTGAAATTCTTTTCCAAGGAGAAGAAAATCCTGTTTTGATTTTGTTGTATGGCCCTTGAGAAACTGAAGCCAGGCCCAGGAGCCAAGAGCCCAAGGTCCCCCCAGCCACGCAGCCAGAGGAGGGGGAGCTCCTGGCTGTCTCTGGCCACATCAGCACCCCTGGTGAGTCACTGGGAGACAGCGGAGCCCTGGGTGCTCTGATCCAGTTCAGGGGGAGCTGGATGGCGGGCAGGGCCCTGGAACCCCGGAGACAACCGGAGCCCCCGTGAGTGGAGGACGGCACACCTCGCTCTCTGCTCCTGCTCCTCCAATGCCGACTGGTGAGGAGCCCCAAGAATCCGACTCCATCTGCCACCCCACATGCCTGGCAGCTGCGAGACTCACTGAGACAGTTCCACAAACATGCAGCAGAGGCGGTGCTAGTGGCCAGCACATACGGGCTGCCCACGAGCTGTCCCCATGGGCTGGGACCCCAGAGCAAAGCCAGCCCAGTGCCCTGGCCTCGGCGCCAGCCCAGGCTCTGTCGCCTGGCGGCGCGGCGGCTGGCAGCCACACCTGCTCTTAGATTGTGCGCTGCAGTCTGAAGGAATGACGCGTGAGATTTGCCTCTGCGGTCACATGGGCCACGTGCAGCTGGTGCTGCTGCAGTGGGCAGCCTGGAGCCCAGGATGTCACCCGCTTCGCAAACCTGCCACCCAGCCTTGTGCCCACGTCTGAGTCTGGGAAGTCCCTCCAGACGGCCCTGGTCCGCGTATCTGTCTTTATTACTTGCCAGAGAGAGACAGCCGGGGGAGTGGAACCCCACAGTGGGGTGTGGTCAGCCACGACCCTCTTCCCCCATCTCTTCATCTCACGGAGATGTGGGGCACGCACTCACACAAGTCCAGCACGATTTTCAAGCCACTGGGGCCAGGATTCAAACTGAGATGGGCCATATGGGATCTGGCTACCTCAACCATGGGCCAGCCCACGGTGCTGAAGTCTAGAAAGTGCTTTTGGACAGAGCTGCCTGCAGTGGTAGGAGCTGAGGCAGGTGGACTCCTGCTGCCTGTCCCGGTAGGCCTGCAGCAGCTTCTGCCAGGAGTGGAAATGAGGGTGCGGACAGAGGCCCACTCCCTTCTGAGCTGTAGGCCGGAGCCTGCCCCGACCCTCCCCCCCTCCCCCCCGGTTCTAGAAGCTCCTGCGGTGGGGCTCCCCTCCATCCTCACGCAGTGGCTGACCTGCTTGGCCAGCCTGGAAGGATAGTCTGCAGACCCAGGCAGGGGTGCGCAGAGCCCTGGTCCAGCACCCCTAGGCAGCTTGCTGCCCGTCTGTCTGTGCACCCTGCCCTGGGCAGAGGACAGATGAGCCCTGGCTAGAACCTGAGCCCCAAAGCCTGCGAGGGTACTGAACTGACACAGTGCCAGGCTAAGAGGCAGGACCTGTAAGAGGTGTGGGGCCAGCAGGCAGCACCTTGCGAATGGATTGACGGCGGTATCACAGGACAGGGTCCTTAGGCAAGGGCCAGTGCGGCCCTGTCTCCGCCTCTCACCCTCTGCCTTCTGCTATAGGGGAAATGGCAAGGAGGCATTGTACGACGGTGGCCCTAACCTCAGAACACTCAGCCAACACGAGTCTGTGTGTTACAAGTGTCCGGGTGCAGGGGTTCTATTCCAGCTGCCCCCGACAGCCTGAGGGCCTCCCTGAACCCACGGTGGCGGGAAAGTACCCACGGTGTGGCTGCTGCTGCCGGGGAGACATCCCGAGGCCTGGCCAGCTCCCTGGGCCCCAGACCTCCTGGGGCCTCCGGCGGTGAGTACCCACGGCCCCTCCAAGCACCAGGAATGAGAACACAGCAGTAGCCAAAGAAAAGGCAGGCACCCGGTGACAGGGCCTGGGGAGTTGCAAGGGGCTGGCCCTCCCGGCGTGACAAGAGCACAGAGCACACAGCGCTCCTAAAGCCTCCGAGGAACTTTAATCCGGATGTGCAGACGCCTCCACAAGGGTTCCTCTGCCCTCAGAGTGAGCTCGCTCTCTACACAGTGGACAGGGTCCCGAGCAGGCCTCCCGGCCAGCCAGCCCAGGGCCTGCCCACAGGCTCGCCCTTACCGCAGGTCTGGGTGCTCCAGGGCGCTGCCATGCCTGCCCCTCCAGACAGCAGCACCTCCTCTCCCTGCTGGGGGCCGCAGGTGGGGTCCAGTATGGCTGGGACCCCGCGGGAGCTGGGAGACACAGAAGCACATGTGTGAGCAGAGGCGGCCCCTGGGTGGGCAGCAGATGGGGGCCTAGTGGGTGAGAGTACCCTGCTGGGCAGGAATCTGGGTCCCTGTGGCCTCACAGACGGGACACTGAAATTCCCTAGGTCGGGCCCGTGCCTAGTGGTTAAGAAAGCAAGATCCCACGTGGGCAGCCATGCTTCTGGTCTGGCCCCAGCGGCTTGCAAAACACTCCAGGCCCGTGTGCGTGCGTGCCCCAGATGGCAGCACGGCGGAGCAATGGAGAGGGATGGCACCGTGACCACGCCCAGTTGAAGCTCTTGACCCTCCCCTTTCTCGGAGCGCTCACCTGCTCTTTGGCAGTTGGAAACAGGCCTCATGCGCCTGCCTGAGCCCCTTCTCAACAGCTAGAGAGGTCTGCAGAAACCAGCTGCCCCTCACGCTGCCCGTACCTCCCCAGCTCAGTCCCGCCAACGGAGCTTAGGGGGCAGGGTGGAATGAGGGAGACCGAACGCCAAACCCACCATC